GAAAGAAATATTCTATTTAAAGACAATTACACTTAAATATCATCGTTTTCTAAAGACATTTGCATGAAAAAAAGGGCAAAATCATGAAGAACTAATTTTTCTTTTTCATACTACTATCTGCAGTAATAATTCTCCTGTGTGACATCATAATCAGCTGTCATGTGATATGATATCACTGTTTAGTGTGATCAGAATTCTCTGACTTGAACACACAAAAGCATTGGTTGAAAACCAGATATAGCTGTAGCTTTGCTTTTGAAAATTGGATGGTTCTTTTAGGAACTATCAAGAATATTAAGAAATCATTAAGAAATAGGTGCTGTTAACACAGATACATTAAAACATGTAAACCTAAGAACACTTGATAATGTAGTCTTTTTTAAAAAAAAAAACAAAAACAAAGTCTGAACTTGAATTAAAACTTTTTTCCTACTCTTTTGTCATTTTTTTCAAAAAATACTTACTGTTTTCTAGTGGCCATCCTAGTTTTGTGAGGGATCTTTATGACAGACCTTGTGACAGATTTGTTCAGTGAGATATCTCTTCTAGAACTTATGAAAATACAAGCACCTTAGAAACCATGTTCATTTGTCCCTTGCACTCTTCTTTTTCATTGCACTTGAAGGCATGTGCAGAATTTTCTTGCAAACTTTGGATTCCCCATTGTTTAGCTGCTGCTGTGCTGTCCCAGTGAAATACATAAAGCCACAACCCCACTATGTGTTTCTTTGAAGACTGGAAACTAACTGGAGGGATACACAGAAAAGGCTTTGTAGAACCAATTGAATGCAAATTAAATGTTGGATCTTCAGCTTTTGGCATATTATTACTGCCTATACTCCTGTTTTATCGAATTGCACTTCCCATTTTTTAAAGATTAGTAGAGCTTGAGAGTCATGGTGTATAGAATTGTCATCTTGATAAATAGTAGAGATTAATGCTTTCATCCAAATTATGCATTCTTTTTTAGGATGATAGCATTACATAATAATAGGGGCAGATTTCCAAAGTCTTGATCAACAAAATGATCACAGAAAGACTTCTTAAATAATTCATTTCCATCTATCAAGGCTGACATGAGGCAGCGTTACCAAACAACCTCCTTTTGACAGGATAGTCCAATAGCACAGTTCTTATTCATTGCTCCGCTACTGGCACAGGAACATTTGTGGGCACATATCCAGGTCCCCAGGAAACTTGGAATCGTTCCATGTTAAAGAACTGTAACTGTAGCTAACAAACCAGCTGCTGTATTGAGCTCAGAAGGAAGTCTTTGTAGCTGTGTGGAAGGAACTTAAGTTATTTGCATAACATCCAGCAGTCTTAGTGGGAAGGGTTGGCAGGAGCACAACAGCAGGGGAGGCATCCAGCTTTTCTTTTTTGACCTTATCTGTCACTGATTCCATTCTTCAATGCTAGGGTGAGATGAAAAGAGAGGGAAGTGAAGAACTTGACCAAAAGAGCTGTACAGGTCTGAAGAGAAGGGTACTCATGATCATATTGACATCGTTCTTTGTAGAAATAGTAGTTCATTAAATTCAACAACAACAAAAAAAATTGGTTTACAATAAGTAGTATCAACGTCAGTGCAATATTTGTGAGTTGGTGAATTCTTACTGTGGTGAGAGAAAATCTTTAACAACAGATAACATGAGGTTGTAGTGCTATGCATCAGCATAAGTCAGCTGTCAGCCAGAACATGCTGTACAGGAATTTACAGAAAGGGTCAGTCATGTTAAAAACAGGCAGATTTTTTTTCAAATCAGCCAATTTCAGATCAGGAAAAAAATTTAACAATGTTAATTTTACAACAATATATCGCATCACTTCTTCAAACATTACTGTTTCCAATAAAATATCAATCTGTGTTTCCAAACAGGTGTTTCTTTAGTCTCATCATGCCAGCTTTGCGCTGTAAAGAAAATGAATTATTTGTTAAAGTCCTGCACCTCTGTTAAAATACTCAGGCTATACTTCATCAAGTATTTAAACTACCACCACCATCAGAGAAAAAAAAGTCTTGCTTTCCTGTGGTCTTCAGACTTTCTGCTGCATTCCACAAATAGAGATGTTTGTGAGGCCGAACAGTAAATTATTGTGTTGTGGATTTGGATTGAAAGTAAGTGGGGTGGTAGTGCCCATCTATTGCTCTTTCCTTCTGCTTCCCACCACCTCATCTCCAGTTTCATTTCAAGCTTCATTATGCTTCTGGTCCAATTCACTACTTTTGCAGAAATGTATATGATGAAAAAGGGCTAACACAAGAGAAGAAAAGAATGGAATTTTTGCAAGATAGCCTTTTCTTACCTGATACTTTTTCCCTATTTTTAAGAGATTATTTTTTATTTAAAAATGCATAAACTAATGACTTCTATGAATGGCTTTTATGTAGGAAAGAGTAGGAAGGCTAGAAGATGTAATTCACCATAATTTCGAAGAAAATTGAATTAACCTTTAATACGAAGTTAAATACCTTTCCCAGTATGTGAAGTTAAACTTACTCTCACTCTTCTGTATTATGGCAGAAACAGAAAAGATGTTTCTGGGATAGTTTAGTTTTCCTTCAGAGTTTTTATTTAGCAAAGGCTTCTTCCATCTCTATGATTGTATAAAGAACAGTCTAAGAGATGATTAAAAAGCTGTCAGCTGTTCATGTTAATTCACAAAGAATTTTCTTCTTTTTCATCTTTGCAGTATTACTTGTACTCCAAAAATGTTGAGCATGTTGACATATCTGAGAGCAGTCCTGCAAAGAAGTCTTTGGGTTATTGGTGAAGGAAAAGCTGGACATGACCCAGCAATGTGTCCTTGCAGCTCAGGAAGCCAAACACATCCTTGGGCTGCATCCAAAGCAGTGTGGGCAGCAGGGGAAGGAGGGGATTCTGCCCCTCTGCTCTGCTCTGGTGAGACCCCAGCTGGAACTCTGCATCCAGCTCTGGGGTCCTAGCACAAGAGGGACATAGACTTGTTGGAGTAGGTCCAGAGGAGGCCATGAAGATGATCAGGGCAGTGGATCATCTCCTGTGAGGAAAGGCTGAGAGAGTTGGGGTTGTTCAGCCTGGAAAAGAGATGGCTCCAAGGAAACCTAACTCTGGCCTCCCAGTACCTAAAAGGGACCTACAAGAGAGCTGGAAAGGGAAGGTCACACAGTGACTGGATGAGGATTAAATGTCTTAAATTGAAAGAGATTAGATATTAGGAAGAAATTCTTCATTATGAGGTTGGTGAGGCACTGGAACAGGTTGTCCAGGGAAGCTGTGGATCCCCCATCCCTGGAAGCATTCAAGGCCAGGTTGGATGTGGCTCTGAGCAGCCTAGTCTAGTGGAAGGTGTCCCTGTACATGCCAGGGGAGTTGATGATCTTTAAGTTCCGTTGCAACCCAAACCATTCTATGATTCTTTGACCAATATTTTTCTTTTTGTGTAGTGTTTTCATAAGTCAGTGTTTAAAAATCCTACTTATCACATTTCAAGTGCTATTTCTCTGAATATGTCAGTTGTTTAAATAATCTTTTGGACTTCTGTAAGGAACCCATTTAATTGTCTTCATTGGCCATTAAGGAATTTGTATGGAGTGCAAGTAAGCTTCAGGGATACATTGTTATTGGAATTGTCAGCAGTTTCTACTGCTGGTCGCAGACAAACCATAGCCATTATGGGAGTGCTGAAGTAAAACTTGTGTTTGTTACCTCATTACTGCAGAAGTCTTCTAAAATTTGCTATATCAAACACAATTTCTGTTGATTTCTGACAAGCAGAAAAAAATAAAGCATCACATTTAAATTTATATTATTCCCTTGGCCCTTGTCTCATCCTTCCTCCCCATCCTCCAAGGAATTTTTAATACATTGAGTGTAGGAGAAATACATTCATCTTCTGAACTCCTCTTACTACCTCATCTCTTCATTGAAATCAAGGGAGAATTCATATTCCAAGCTAATTTAACCTGACTTCTTTTTAGTCTCTGGTAAATGCATATTGCCCTTATTTGCAGCATCCCAAAAGATAATTTTTTGTTCAAGGAATAAAACCTGAAGAAGTATGCAGCATTCCATCTTGTCTCTTGTTTTAATCTGCTTTTATGCAATAGATTAATGGATGGGGACTCTGCCTGCAAATGAATCTTCACAGCATGAGTCATGGTCATTCTTAAGACTATTGAAGAGTATTTTTATATTCTAACAGTTCCAATTTTGTAATCAAGTTGAGGTTTATCAATAGAGCTACTATCTTCTCTTATTTACGGAAGAAAAAGGGCATGTTCTTTATCAAAATAACTGGCTTAACAGTCTGGATTTCCAACCAGAGGAATAAAACATATCAGAAACAACTGTAACTGTTTTACACAGCTAAATACACAGTTTTTACACAGTTTGCACTCCAAAGAAAGGAATGTAAGTAAACCTCCCTTTGGGAAGAGAGAAGGGGAAGGAAACAAAATACATTAATTTGCTGAATTAATCATAGTGGCACAATTACTTATCGTTAAAATGTTCTTTTAAATGGGGCAAAACACATCTCTCTGTAGAAGGTCCTATCTGCTCCACATATTTTACTTACATTTTCTACCAATCTTGCCCCAACACTCCTGTGTGCATTAACCATTTTCAGGAAAGCTTGGGAAAAAGGTGTCTTAGATGTTATGTAAACAAACCCCAGTGATCAGACAAGGAGTAGATGTCAAAGTTGCTGTCAGCATTGCAGGGAATGCAGAGAGCATTGTCTGTGGCTATTCTGCTTGTGCACATGCTGGGGAGCCCAGGAGACATGCAGGTTCGAGCTGCTCACATCCTGTGGAATCACATGAAAAATTGGAATTACTACATTTGCTGGGTTTTAAGGAGTCCATGGATAGAAAACGATGCAAAACAAGTCACTTTAGATGTATCCAGTTTCATGGGGCATTATTTATATACAAGCAACAGTGGAAACTTACTATTATTGGCTATAAACATTTTAACACTCTTCTTTTTTCTTTTTTTTTTCCCCCTTATGAACAGATTTAAGAAATTTGTCTGGATTAATACTGAACTGAATGCATCTGAACTGAAAGAAACATTTTGAGATTGCTCTCCTGACAGAAATTGTGCGAAAATGGTACACTGAGGTCCCTGCCTGCACCTGTGGGAAGGCTGTAACAGTATTTTTATATTGCAGTTTATTGGCCCATAAAAGACGATGTAATAACAAATGTAACAGTAAATTTATGCAATAGTAGTGGTTCCCCTCCCACTGACTGGACATGAGTGATCAAAGGTCTGTGCAAGAAGATAAGCACAAGGTTAGCAGAACTTCCTCCAAGTTCAGGGAGTCTTCAAGAAGCATGCAATCTGATGATTATTTCGCTAGAAAACTTAAAGCCTTGAACGGTAGCATGGGTCCTCCTGTTTCTTCAAATGCCTCTAGCAAAGCTGAAAATAATCAAACAAATGGTACACCAGCCGTGCCTAAAATGGGTGTTCGAGCAAGGGTATCTGAATGGCCTCCTAAAAAGGATTGCTCTAAGGAGCTGAGTAAAGCTGCTTGGGAAAACAGACCTCCAGCCAGTTACGAAGGTGTTGGCTCAGTACTTCCAAATGGACAAAATGACCAAAGTGATGAACAGCAAGAAGAGCTAGAACTGGAATTTACAGAGGGAAAGTATTCAATTGGAGATCTTTTTGTTCATTCACCTCAAAGGGGACTTCATCCCATAAGGCAGAGAAGCAACAGTGATGTGACAATAAGTGATATTGATGCTGAAGATGTGTTAGACCAAAATGCTGTTAACCCAAATACTGGAGCAGCTCTTCACAGAGAATATGGCAGTACTTCTTCAATTGATAGACAAGGCTTGTCAGGGGAAAATTTTTTTGCAATGCTGAGAGGATACAGAGTGGAAAATTTTGAACATAAAACCCTTGCTCCTTTTGGATTTTCTGAGTTTTTCCACTGTGATCCTACGGTTTCTCCGAGTCTACATGCTGCTGCACAGATTTCCAGGGGAGAGTTTGTCAGGATTTCTGGGTTGGATTATATGGATAGTGCCCTACTTATTGGTCGAGACAGGGAGAAATCTTTCAAGAGGAGACTGAAATCAGAAGCAGTAGAAACATCTCTCTTTAGAAAATTGCGAACAGTTAAAAGTGAGCATGAGACTTTTAAGTTTTCATCAGACCTGGATGATAGACTTGAGAGAAATGTTCGTTCTTGGAACTGTCAGAAATGTTTTGCACATTATGATGTCCAGAGCGTTTTGTTTAACATAAATGAAGCAATGGCTACCAGAGTCAATGTAGGAAAAAGAAAAAATATCACCACTGGGGCTTCAGCTGCGTCACAAACTCAGATGCCAGCGGGCCAGACTGGAAACTGTGAATCTCCCTTGGGAAGCAAAGAGGACCTCAATTCAAAAGAGAATTTAGATGCTGATGAGGGCGATGGGAAAAGCAATGATTTAGTACTGAGTTGCCCTTATTTCAGGAATGAAACTGGTGGGGAAGGAGATAGACGGATTGCACTTTCTAGGGCAAATTCAGCATCTTTTTCTTCAGGTGAAAGTTGTTCTTTTGAGTCCTCTCTGAGTTCCCATTGCACAAATGCTGGTGTTTCAGTACTGGAAGTACCAAGAGAAAACCAGTCCATTCACAGAGAGAAAGTGAAGCGTTACATCATAGAGCACATCGATCTTGGAGCATATTATTACCGCAAGTTCTTCTATGGAAAAGGTAAATTTTTCTAATGCAACTGTTCTCACATATCCATGCATTAGATTTAAGTTGTTTAGCAAAGGGTTTTTTTTGTTTTCCTGCTTCTCCATAGAGAGACCTAGGTATTCCAGAGAATCCTGAAACTCTTCACTGAAATTAAGCCTGTTACTTTTGCTCTCTCTGGGCAAAGCAGTGGGTTATGTATGGTTATGCAATACCTGTGTGAGTTCATGAAGTCATTTAATGAAAACTCATATAGAATAACATGTAAGCTAACTTCTGCAACCCAAACTTTCTTGATCAGCAGGAGATAAAAATGCCATTTACATCCACTAAATGCATTGGAAATACTGATAACTCAGAGTGGAAATAATTTATTTCCTAAAAGGTGACTCCAAAAGAAAGAGTTTTATTATTGAGGCTTCTGACTCTCTCCTAGATTCAACTGTCTTGAAGTGTGTTTTGAGGCCTTATGTCATATTGTATGCACATGAACATAACGCTTAAGTAGAGAGCTTCTGATGTTATTCAGTTTTTCAGCTTAAAGGAGGATGTTATGCCTTTCTCCTAGCCTTATACCCCTTTCTTTTAGGATGTGTTCAGTCTGCAAACGTTCCAGGATACTCTTGTCAGCAGAGTAATTATCTTGGCTTTAGTCATTATTCAGATAAACTGTTTTTACTTTGTGATCAACTCTGATAGTCTGCATTCAGTACTGGCTTCTGCAATGTGGATGAAATCCCTGCTTTTGTGGGAGAACCCCAAAATACCTGTCTCTGTCCTTTCTGTATTATGAATTACAGCTAGATCTTCTTGCTTTTATTAAAAGAAAAAAAGCCTACTTCTGTTTTTAAAATACTGTTACTGCCTGATTATTCTTGTTCTTCTTGAAATCATACTTTCTCTGCTTTCTAACTATATTTGAACATCAGGAAATAAGCACGGTACTGTTACTCCTTCCTCCTGTAACCCTTTAAAAGGGACTCAGAAGAGGATCCAGTACAGTGTTGGTCACAGTACAATAGACACTGAGAACATATTAGCTGTAAAAAAACTATTTAAAAGGCAAGGAAGAGAAGAATCTGGATCTGTGATGGAAGAGGAAGAAAAAGACCCACAGCTAAGCAAGGAATGGGCAGTAAATTCACAGGTTCAAAATGGATTTCAAGGTAGACAGGTTGTAAATTATATAAAAAATGTTGACGGAGTCAGAGTGCAAGAAAATGAAGGGAAACTTTTAACAAAAGGATGGCACATTTTTTGAGGGGTGGAGAGAAGAAAACATTGGCATTCACAAAAATGAAAGGAAAACTGTCAGTAGACAAGGTTGTGGCAGGATGGGAAGGGGGAGACAAGAATTAAGCCAGATGAAAGAGGACTTGTTTGTGAAGTGCTTTTATCTTGGATGAGTTACAAGTGCTGAAGTGCAGAACATTTCTGTGAAGAAAAATCTTGTCAGAGAAATTATAAAAAGAAAATGCACATGCATATTCAAAGCCACTTTAAATACTATATTATAAACAAACCTAATGACCTTTCTGGAAAATTGATGGGAATGTAATGAGTTTTTATTAACTCCTGTTCTGAAATAGTGTCTGAGTTTCTCGGAGTTTTATTCCATATAGTATAACACTAGGAAACTTGAAGTGTTACTGATTGTTCTCTAGGTAGAGTTCTTAAAAAGTAAATATGATGTGATTAATTTAATATCCAGTAATAAATTTTTACCTTCTCACCTTTACAATGATATGTAAGCCATGGCCTGTTGTTGGCATTATCTTTTTATGGAGCTGTAACAGAAGCTACGTGAGAGAAATCTGTATTGAATGGGTTTTGTGATGCAGCAAATCAGGGCAAACAAGCTGATGAAACGAAAATCTTAATTTTTAATATCTACTATCTTAAGGGATACAGCACGTAAGAAATCACCACATTAATTATTCCAATGGAATGCAGTGCTCACCTAAGCAAAACTTATTGTGGATAGAAGAAATAATCCAGCCATTTTGCATAGGGCACCAAGACATCTTGCTGCTGGCCTGAACTTCCATATTGAAAAGAAAAATTTACACTTATGTTCGTACTGGGTCTATGTGATGCTCTTCCATGACAGTGAGCTCTCCTAGCTGATTTTTAGATTTAGTTGTGCAAGTTAATTTTACCAAATTCATTGTGGAAGGATGAAATAAAAATTTAGCAAACAGTAGTTACTTATACATACTATCACTGCTTTGTTGCCTTTAAGAAAATATATATGAAAAAAGAAATATCTTTCTGAATATTTGATTTTTTTCACAGTTTTATAATTGGCATCAGCATACCAGTTTTATTTCTGTTTTAAGATGCATGGAAGAAACACCCCGGCATGTGTAGCACTAATTATTCCATTCCCTTTCAAGAAATATGAGATTTGGGATTCAGTGTTTTCTGAAATAAGTTGTAGTTTTATACTGCATATTTATAGGCTTTGTAACTATTGTTAAGGTCAAATCCAATGCCACTGATATAAAATACATTAAGTTTATTGAATATATCTTCTCAGTTTTCAGTTGAGAATTGTAAAAGCTAGACTATATATTATTTTATCTCATTGTTTTGATTATCATTGATTTGTCCATTTCCTTTTGTACCATTATCCTCATAGTTCCTTGAGACTTGTTTATTATTACCATGCTTTTTATTTGAGGGATGCTTGCAACCATTTAATGTTACTGTGTCTACCTGATGTGGGATTGAAAAAATGTCTTAAAAGAAATGTACAGGCTTAGCAAGCTATTTGTATTAACTCAGTTTTACACAGTTAAGACTGTTGTGTTAGAAGAAAAGTTGACAACAATTCCTCAAAATGTAAAAGTAAAAAATGACAAATATTTTAGCATCCCTCTAGATCTCAGCTGGAAATAGCACTTACTTTCTTCTTTTCTTCCAAGCTGGTTCTTTTAAACCAACATAATGTCTTAGGTTGCAAACCAAGACACATAAACACATTTAAATGAGCTTAATGAGTTTGTACTTTCTGAAATTAAAAAAAAAAGATGGTTTGAATTAAAAATGTTTTCCCCAGATCCCAGAATATCAGTAGCTGTGCTATTCAATTTACTTCAGCTTCCTTGCCTTTCTTTTCTGAAACTGGTTTATCTATTTTATTTTTAATGCATATAAATAGCGTGTTTGGGTTTGTGTCTTTCATGTTGTACAAGAAATCAGTCGGTATCTGCACACACTTGCATTTTTCTGCTCAGTGATACTGAAGCCAGGAAATCTACTAACTGTGTAATACCCTTTTCTACATTTACATAAAAATGAAAAGCTCTAGACTTGTAACTAGGGGGTTTACCTTTCCTCAACGCCTGAACTATGCAGCTGTGGGGAGTTTATATGCTACTGGAAGTGTTTGACCTCTGAACTTCTCTCTCTCTCTCTCTCTCTCTGTCCCCCTCTCTCTGTCTTCTTTGTGAAGTCCTGTTCCATTTGATAAAATTTCCCATTAAAGTTTTAATTTAACACTGGGAAGTCCATAAGATACTTATTATCCATGCAGGTAGAATTCTCAGGCTGGGAAAGGAATGTAGTTGGAGAGCATGAGCAGATAATTTAATGCCTGTGCCTCTGATTCCAGGTGTTCCTTCCAAAAAAAGTTGTAATGTGCTGATGCTCATTTTCCTTCCACTGGGAGATGGATTGGAACCACCTACATACTTCATAGATAGATTTTTGAAAGACTACTGGAAACCTAATTTAAACTTGATTTGAGAAATAAGACTGTTTTTTATGTAGAGATGACTTCATTCTTTTGTATTAATTCTGAGAGTACGAATAACTTCTTAGTGAAAGACATTTAGCAAAAAACTTCCTTACACATTTCTATAAATACATTACTTTAAAAAATTATCACACTAATTCAAAAGTGCTAGCAAAATGTGTTTTGGTTTTTTTTAATCCAGACAATCTTTAAGGAGAAATTAGACAATTAATTGTTGTTTAAAAGATGGGATTATAGCATACATTGGATTGGAAGCCATTTCAGCAGGCCGTCCCATCTAATTCTCTCTTTAAAGTGCCTTTAAGATGTTCTGAATAGGTTGCTCAAAACCTGTTTCCATTTAGCTGTGTTACAGTATCTAAGGATGTAGGTTTCACAATCTCTCTGGGAAACCTGTTTTTGTTGGATTCCCTCCACTCAGAGGCTGCATTGAGTGGTGTTGCATCTTGTTCTTTCACTTTGTATCTTCGAGAAGAGTCTGTTTCTCCTTTCTCTACAACCTCCCATCAGCTCATGGGATCTAGCAGTTATTTCTAGAGTTAATCTGCTCTTCTCCAGCAGCACAAGTCCATTTCTTTTAGCCTTTCCTCATCTGTTACATTTTCCAGCCCTAAAATTGTCTTCATTGTTGTCTGCTGGCCTTGTCTCACTGTGTCCAAAACCTGACACTCCTTCTTATGTGGCCTCGAAAGAGCCAAACAGAAAGGAAAAATGTTCTCCTGAACTGCTGCAATACTCTTGCCCAGAGTGTGGTTACTTTCCACTTTCTCTGCTGGGAAGTTCTGCTGGCTGCTGGGCAGCCTGCGCTCACAGGGTCTCCAGCCCTGTTCCACAGAGAGGCTCCTGAGGCAGTGGGTTCCCAGCCTGCTGTATGAGCTTGTTCTGTTCTATGTGCATGTCTGTGTTAGTCTTCATAAGGCTTTTTCAGTCAATTTTCTTGGATTGTCAAAATGAGAGTTTGTTTTAAAGTGTCAGGTTGAAAACTTCAAGTGGTTTAGGAGTTGCTTCACATGCAGCTCAGTTGTCACAGCTCAGCAGTAGCTGCCTTGAGGGGAAGGGGAGAGTGGGGGGTGATGCACAGATACCCTACAGCTGTAGGGCTCTACTTGTGTGGCTTTGCCCTTGCCTGCTTTTGTTAAAACTGCAGGGATTTTGCATTTCCATGTCTCTCCTGTGCACATATTCCTGGTTTGTAAAAAGCCTGCTGGTTATTCCCCTTCATCTGTTGCACCCATCTGCAGTCCTAACCTGCAGTACATGAACTGTTCTTTTAGAGCTTGGTCATGGGCAACAACTTGTTGAGGATACACTCCATCCTGTCATTTAGATAATGTAAAAGCCTATTAAACAATAACACTTCCACTATCAAATTCTGGTAAACATCTTAGTAACTGGCCACTAATTGTAATTTGTATTACTGATCACAGTCCTTTAAGGTCAACTGTCCAGCTGGTTTCCATCCACCTTGTAATTTGCGTGTCCAAACCGTGTCTTTTCAGTTTAGCTGCACAGATGTACTATGGAGACTGTGTGAAAAGCATTGCTAAAGTACGAGGGGGTGACATTCATTGCTCCTTCCTCATCCATAAAGACAGTCACATCACTGCAGAAAGCAACTGGATTGGTCATGCATGATTTGCATCTTTTAAATCTGTGCAGGCTGTTTCCAAGTATCTTTTTTTCCTTCATGTGCCTGGAAATGGCTTCCATGAGAATTGTTCCTTAATCTCCCTGGGAACTAAGATTTATTGTGCCTGTTCTATGGCTTCTCAGACCCTCTTTCCCTGTTTTAAATGTGACTCTTAACTACTCACTGTGACCTTTCAAAGGTGGAAAGGAGGAGCCTGTTTGTTTATGTGGATTTGAGTGTGTCTGGTATCCTTTAAATGGTCTCTGATGTGATCTTTTCTTCAGCTGATAGTACTGGCCCAGACTGGACCAGCTACCTCAAGGATGAATTTAACTATTCATCAGACACTGAGGAGTACCTAGACTCAGTTTTCCCTTGTTGAGACTAAGTTGCTGCTTTCAGTGTAAAGTTGTGAATAAGAATAAATCTTTTGAAAGACTTAGCTTTTAGTCAAGATTATATGTAGATAAAATTTCTCCAAACTAGTTTCCTACTAGAAAAATAATGTTGCATGGTAGCAGCAATTGCTGTAATTTGTGTGATATGAGTGACCATTTTGCTCATCAAAATTAGCATTTGTGATTTATGTGATCACCAGCTGGTGCATTCACAGACCTTATTGTTCAATTAAAAAGAATCTGTTTTTCTTGCTGCAGAAATTTTTTTTTGAGATTTGATGAAAATTTTCTAGGAGATTCATACTTAACTCTTATCTCTTCATTCATTCCTGTGCAAAAGAGCATCAGAACTACTTTGGAATAGATGAAAATCTTGGACCTGTAGCAGTCAGCATCCGGAGGGAAAAGGTTGAGGATGCTAAGGAGAAAGAAGGATCTCAGTTCAACTATCGAATAGTTTTCAGGACAAGTGAGGTAATGTTCATTCCATAATTCCACAAAGCAATGGAAAAGTTGACTTAGAGCTTAGGATACTAGTTGTTTGTCTGGGGGTACATTTCTGGCTTTGAAAGTAAATCTCTTAATGGGAAAGGATGTTTCCTGTAGTGTTGATAAATTGAGTTGCTCCTGAACAAAGTTTTCCTTTTCTCTACTGCATAAAATTTTTGTTTTTTTGAGTGAGCACCCAGAATTAGGTAAGTTGGTTGAAGAGAACTGCAAGGAGGAAGAAAGGGAACAGATGTTAACGCAATTAAAGGCAAGTGTGGATCAGCCTCCTTGATGTTGTGTTTCTAAGGATATAAATGAAAAATTAAGAAATGTAGGGATAAAGGGAGCTGTAAAATATGAAAACTAGTATAATGATTTGTGTTTTTTCCTTTTGTTTCAAAATACTTCTTAGAAATGTTTTTGTGACATGTTTCTATGTACTTCTGAATAGATGATTTGCAGGAATATTTATATATTCATAAAATAATGGTCTTATTTGAAAAAAAATTTCCTTGTGGTTGTTGTGTGTGAAGTCTCATAACTTCTATTTCAAGCAATTTAGTATCTTTTGCTAAATAATTTCTTTATCACAGCAACTACCTTAGATTTGTATGAAAACACACAATGTTATTATTGGAGCAAACAAGTGTAAATTTTCGGAATCCTTAGGACTATTAACTTTTATTTTGATTAGGATATAGAGGAGTGTTAGCTAGATTTCCTGATATCACTGGGCTCTTGTGCTTTTGCAAACAGATTTAAACCAGATATAGATATAATTTTTATTTTCAGTCTAGTTTTTTTTTTTATGGCCAAGAAAGGGGTATCCATGTATGTATATGTGGAGAGGTAATCCAGGTGACTCAGTTCTAATAAATTATTCTCTTTTTGTCAAGTCCAATGAAGATAGAGCAGCATGGATTAAATAGTAGGTGAATGGGTTAAGTAAAGTTGCAATTGGCTATAGCTTATGTCATGTGTCCAGCCTCATGTTTGACTACTGTGTTTGCTAGGGTAGTATGGCAGAATTAAATATTTCTATTTTACTGGTGCCTTCAATATTTTCCCCTCCCCAGAAAAGGGATATTCTTAGTAATTGTAATGAATTGTTACACATTTCATTAATTTCTTTAAGCAAAAAAATGTATTTGTCACTTAGTGAAAGCTTGTCTACGCTTTAAAAGTAATTTAGTAATTTTTTTACTGGTTAAAAAAATAAATTGAGGATGTTTTTCTTACCATTTCTTTTTTCCATGCTTTTGCTAAAACCTGAAGTTTTTATCTCTAGGGTTTAGAGTATTAGAACTAAATATGTTCTGTGTGTTTTACCTTTATTACAGCTTACTACTCTTAGAGGAGCAATTTTAGAAGATGCTATACCATCCACTGCTCGTCATGGCACAGCAAGAGGTCTGCCTCTCAAAGAGGTGCTAGAGTATGTAATACCAGAGCTGAGCATCCAGTGCCTGAGACAGGCTTCCAACTCACCCAAAGTACCCGAGCAGCTACTTAAACTGGATGAACAAGGGGTATGTGGCACATAGCCTTCTTTTTAAAGACTATTCCTTAGATAAATAGAAGAAAAAAATTACTAAATATTTTGCAGACAGTGCTAATTAACATGGCTCTGTAATGCAAACCATTGAGTTTCTTGGATTTAGAGAAACTTCTCTATTTTCACTGAAAAAGTGAGGTCTGCTTTTCTAAGCAAATTCTTCTTAAAGTACATTTCAGCTGAAGGAAATATTGGTCTATGGAGATTGTCTTTTGACGGCTGAGTGAGAGAAGGATTATTAAGTTTTAACATCAGTAAGAAGGGATTTTCACAATCTGTATTTGCACTTCAATGTTTATAAATGTTGAATGCAAATGAAAATACATCTGACACTTTATTAGTATTGTGTGTGGGTAAGGAGGCAAAAGCGTGTTGTGTCTGAAGCCTCTGCATCTAAAATTTATGGTTATTTTTTACAATACCATTTTATGATCTGCTTGCAGTATATTCTTACTAGAATATAATACTTCTGTAGTCATAGAACTGAGATTGTGATTGAGACTAATGAATTAACTGCATGGCATTAAAATATTTGAATGGCTTAAATTTTGAGAAAATGGTGATGTTTATTAGGTTCGGTAAAGGTGAATCTGCTTCATTCAAAGTTATTATTTAAATTTATGGTTTCTGAATATTTTGTGAAGGATATGCTTATGATGGCTTTTAAATCATGGTTTTTAAAAAATGTCCATTTAAACTGAAGATTTTACTTTCTAGGTGAAAGTCAGTATCTATCTGTTGAAGTCCAGTCTGATGATTGAATCAGTTGATTATGATTGTGCTGTAGTTAATTTTTTATTGCTAACTCAGTTTCAAATGTAGTGATTGCATCTAATGTTGGTGGTGTCTACCAGAATTCCTCTGTCTTTCCTTGTGCCTTTATCAATTGCTCAAAACAAAGCACATGTAGTCAGAGGAACAGGATTGACTTATTTTGGATGGATTGTTAAGCAATCTTTTATATGCTAATTTTAGTACTTTTGTTTGCATTGGTGTTTGAGGATGGTGTTAATTTTGCTGAATGTTGTTTTCTTCTGCATTTGTTAGTTTTTCTGGTAAAACAATACAGGGAAATCAGAGGCACTGAATTCTGAATCTGAGTTCCTGTGGTGCTCTTGCTCTCTGATGTTTGAGCTTCAGTGTGAGTTTGGGTTAATCTAGTAAATAACATTCACTCTTAGAGGGGCAGCATGTTCAAGGCATTGAGTAGTGAGTACTCAGTGCTTGAGTATGACTGTGTTTGATCTGATCTGAATATTTCCCAAACTCACTAAGAGTATTTCCCAAAAATTGGAAATGGAGATTGTCCACTGTACTGACCAAAGTGATTCTTTAATCATCATCTCCTCATTTTGAGAAACAGCAGTATATAGCACTTGCTTTTATTGTGTGGTCAGTTCTGAAATTCAGTCCTATTATTAAATGGGCTGTCACCTGACAAAATGTAATATTAATATATCTTATGTACTGCTTATTACAAGGTAATTACTTGAACACAGACAGAAAGCTGTGCAAAGAATTGGCATGAGATCCATTTTTGGTTTTAATCCTCTTTGATACTTAATGCTTTCAGTTTATTAATCAAGTAAATACAAAAAAGAGTAATGCTTGACAACTGAAGCTGATGACTGGTGGAAATATCATTCATTTAAAAATAAGAATTATGATCTAGAAGATTAGTGCTGTCACCAGAGTGATATGAATTTTGTCTAATGGACTATTAAATGTTTGCATAGTTCTGTAGCCAACTGAAGACTACTTTGATGTTTTGATTTCATTCTCTACCTTTTTGATAACTTTTCTATGAAATCTAATATGGATTATGGAGGAAACGTGGCTAAATTTTGTCTCTAAGAATGATGGTAGAAACTAGATATAAATGGGATGATTGACCTAGTTGGAATACATAAAGATACTGCCTTTTCCCAATTTTTTCAGCCACATGATGCTCATCATTAAATTAAACTGTAAATTTACTAGACAAGTCAACATTTTATCTGTTACTGTTGTTTTTTTAAGCTTTCTCCAACTTCCCCCTAGTTTCCATTTCTAATTTCTGCTAATGGTTGGTTATTGTATATGCTTTTTGGTTACCCTCACATCACTCTAGGGATGCTCACTTCTTTCTAAGCTATAGGATGAAGTTTTAAAAAGACCACAGAAATTAAGATTGGTTGCAGTGATATTTTGTGGCTACTGTGAATCTAACCTCTTGATGTTCCTTGACAGAAAAGAATCTAAAATCTTCACATGATGAAAGTCAACAAGTTTTTGTTACATGATAAAAAATCTGTGCAAAAATTTGACAAGATGCCAAGGTGAATTAGTGAGTGATTCTGACAAGAACACGTCATTTTGAGTCAGGAAGGACTGCTATGCACCTTCAATACATACCCAAGTAGCTAAATAGGTTTAGAAGCTTTTTTGTCATGTTATTAAATTGTTCTCAGTGTAAAATATAGCTAAATGTAAAATTTCTGAATTGGGAAATAATGAAATTGGAACCATGTCTGCAATTACTTACTTAAAAATACTTGAATCAGCATGTGGTTCCATTTCAAAACTGGCAAACTTTATCACTTTTAAATATTCTGATAGTTCTTCATGCCAGTTGAATGCATGACATAAGAGGATCCTGCCAAAGCTCTTTTAGGCACTGACATTCTAAATGTGCCTTGATCTCTGTTTTTGCACAGCCACCATGATCTTGGCTGCGAGTTCTTTTACTCAGGTCTTCTAATTTCGTAGTTGTGAAGGGTTCTAGCAGAGGTGCAGGAGGTTCAGATTACTGCAAATGATCTTGCAGCTTGTTTAGCAGTAAGTGGTTTTTTTATAGTATTGACTTTGTTCAGAACTGTGTGGCATTCACAGTGCTTGTCTGTCCACAAAGTCAAATCCCAGGATTCGTTCATGTCTTGGGGCTGGTGAGTCTCAGATCCTCATTTTCAATGTCTCTTAGCTCAGTGTTTAAACTGTGAGATATTAGATTGTTCTTTAAGATAGGTATATACTTCACTCCTGTTTGGAATATTATTGATATTCATGAACAAATGTAGGAATGACTGGCATCCACAGAATGAAAAAGTGTGACTAGACCGAATATTTTGCCCATGTGCCTGTTTACTCTCAGGTCTTGTCCCTATTTTTTGGTGGCTCAGTTTAGCATTTAGCTTCTCTACCTGTCGATTCTAGTGTGAAGTAAGGAAATCAATGTAAATCCCCTGTGGTTTAAGTTAAACTATCTGACACAGGGCTGGTATAGAGGTGACAGTGTGGTCACCATCATTTGAGGTCTCTGCTGGGTTGTGTCAAGTAAGAGCACTGTTTCCTGTAATCTGATGTTTATATGACCAGTTACCGTGGAGTTTCCTCCATGCTAGCTTTCTGCTGAATAAAGTAGTCACCAGTGTGCAATCTGGACCCTTTTGTTCAATACCTAACTCTCCTTAAAATGGGGATCAAGAAAGCACTCTGGATGGGGACAGCACCTAATGCCACCCAAAAGGAAATGACAGGTGCAAACCAGTATCTTCACCCTGCCCTGCTCCAGATTTCATTGGTCTGACTCAGGCAGCTCCTACAGTGTATCCACAACCTAGAATCCCCTTTTATCTCAGATGGTCATCCATCCCATTCCACGTCAAACTTACACCTTCTGGCTCTTCTCTGTTCTAGGCTGACCAGGTGAAACCTTATTCCCTATTCCTGTCCTTCACTCCTAGCTGCTCTCTGGTCACTGGTGTTCTGCCAAAGCAGGTTCCACAAGGGCTCACCCCTACACAAAGTCTTTATCTCCTTACAACTAAGGGGAAACTGGCTGTTGTTGTCACCTTTGCTTTAACAGAAACACATCCAGCCTTTGCAGAACACGCATTTTGGACTCTAATCCTGAAGTTGGATTAAGAGAGGTCCACAGCTGGAGAGTTGATTTGAGTCATGGGTACAGATAAATGTCTGAATCGGGTGTGACTGATGATTTCTGTCAGTTTGTGAAGCTCTAGAAGGTGTCAGTTAAGAATAATAAGAATACAGGACTATTAATAATAGTAATTACATAATTAATAATAGGACTATTCCATCCACATGGAGGTTTCCTCTTTGTCAGCTTAAGTGTGCATAAAAGCTAAGAAGAAAACAGTCTGCTCAAGAAGTAATGATCTCTCTTTATACCTAATGTTTTATAGCTTTTGTACTTTATTTTTGAGTGACATTTTATGTGATTTCTCTGTTTAATGTTCCGTAACTGAGAATCTGTTTAACAAAACTATTTGGCTGCAATCTAATTTCTTGTTTTAAGTATACTTTTAAAAATGGCAAACAGTTTTTAACAGCACATGTTTTTATGAGGAAGGCAGAAGATGGCATATAACAGAAATTACTGTTCTGACAGCCTGTTTTAACTGAACTACAGTGAACTTTAAAGGGTAAAAATGAGGGGCAAGAAACTTACCTTCTTTCAAATCTGAGAAAAAAGACCAATATACAAATATTGCCAATTAAATTTTTCATACTGTACCATGAAGTAGAGTGTGCTTTTATAGATAAGAAAGTGAAAAGTCTTTGTACTGCTTTTATCTGTGTTTGAGTAGTGCAAATCCAGTTTTCTTTCAAGAGTTGGAGGATGTCTTTTGTGTCTTGTGTTTTGGGTTGGTTTTTTTGGTTTTTTTTTTTTTTCATTCTGTGGTGACTTAATTTCCCAAATCAGAACACTAATTTTTTCACTTTCAGATGCCTTCTGTCAGGGATTATAACACTGTTATATTTTAACTGTTAATAATTATTCTAGTATTGACTTTCCTGTGCTTCTGTAAATTTTTCTTTTCTTTTTTTCTTTAAATTTTAATTTCAGCTGAGTTTTCAACATAAGATTGGTATCCTTTACTGCAAATCAGGCCAAAGCACAGAAGAAGAAATGTATAACAACGAGATGGCAGGACCAGCTTTTGAGGAGTTCCTTGATCTACTGGGCCAGAGAGTACGGCTAAAAGGATTCAGTAAATACAGGGCTCAGCTAGATAATAAAAGTAAGTTATGTTTCAAGCTATGGGAGGAAGGGTAATTATCTAGATGATCTTCTGTAAATTGTGTTGTTTTTTCATGCTCTTGACTTTGGGTTTTGAATAGTAAGATTATATGGTGAATAAGGAAGATGAAGCATATGGCAAGAGCATGTGTCAAACCTTTTCTGAAAGGTCATTTACTTTTTCTGTGGCATTAGAAGAACTGGAAATCAAAACAATTTATTTGATTAGTTTTCATTTAGTTAAAACCATATTACATACCACATGAGTAATATTTCCCCAGGTACACTTACACTTTAATGTCTTCTTCTTTCAAAGGCAATAAAAATATATGTAATTCAAAATACGGAGTAATTTCCCTTATTTCAGCTAAGCACACATGCTTACTTTTACCCAACACACACAAGCAGTCAAGTTTCCTGGTTTCTCACACATGCATGGTAAGCATGTCATCATTTGTCAGCTGATAATTATTAATCTACCTCAGCTCTGTGTTGGTACTGCCATTTCCCCAGGTCTTTCAGTTTCCCTAAGTGCAGTAGTATAAAACATTGTACAAATGGGTTGGATTTTGTAGCAAAATAAGAACTGAACTATTGCTGATAATAAAAAAATCAATGATATATTAATACACTTCCTTATTAGTACTGTTTTCAGTGCTCTTAAATTTAACTTAAATTCATTCTTATTTCTATGATGTTTCAGCAGGATTTTGGCAGCTGATCATATGAGCTGTGATCTAAGGCTATCTATTTATTCATCTACTTCATTTTAACATAGTGTCAACCTAGAATAAGCACCACATTTATTTCCAATAATGTTACTGCCTTTTTCCTTAAATCAATGTGTTTTCCTTCAATAATTCAAGCTTTTTAGAGACTATTGCATCCTATTTCAGTACAGAATAATAAAAACATAATTTTGCAAATTAATTTTTAGAAATACAAATTAACATGCTGTGGATGTCAGACTTCTGGAATTAATTGATAAATAGAGATGAAAAATTGAAAGGAATAAGGGGTGTTTGGGTTTTCCTTTTTTTTTTTCCCCAATCAGAGCATGTCTGGATGTCACCTAGTAAGTTGTGCATATGAAAATAAGTGATGGTCTGTCAGCAAATTCAGTTTCTGTATTTGCTGTGCTTCAGTATGAACTCACATTGCTGATCAGCATTGTGTATGTATCAGTCAGTAACATGATTTTAATGTTTTACAAGTCTGTGTGCCATTAACTATATTGTCCTGTCATAGTGTGTTCTCATAGTTTGCAACAGGCAGAATTGAATTAAGAATTCAAAAAGATACAGTCTTTAGTATTATATTAAATGTAAAGTACTGGCTTAAGTATCACATTTTTGTTATACTTGCTTTTAAATACATATATAAATATACTGTGTGTCATATTTAGACTTAGATAATACATTGTTCTGACTGCCTGCAGGTTCAGAGAAGTGTACTTAGTCTCTGGGAGCTATGTTTTTGGTAGACACAATGTTTCAGTAATAAATCTTGCTTAGTTCTTGTAGGAGTAAAATTTATTAAGTTTTTACATTCTCAAATGCTTGACTAGCTGTGAGTTTTTTCTCTAAAAAAGTCTCTTTTTAAAATTTTTTCATTTTTAAAAATTGTTCATTTAATATTTGGATAAGTAATTGGTCCATTTCTTATGTAACAGAGAAAGTAGAATGTTGTGAGGGGTTGGTTGCCCTGTCTGGCAAATAAGCTCTCACCTCCTGGGTGCTCACCCACCCTCCAGTTCACAAGTCGAGATTAAGAGAGTTCAATGAGTGAAGAAAGGAAAAAAAAACCACCCCCAAACAAACCTTCCAAAACAAACAAAAAACTACAAAACAAACAACAAAAAAAACCCTAAACAACAAAAAAACTGCAGCCCACTGCTACATCAGCCAGGCAACAACAGAGCTGATGCAAAGGCAGTCGCTCACCACCTGCCATTAGCTGACTGCTGCCCAGCCATTCTCTGAGCAGCAGCTACCATGAAAAATCTCTCCCGGCTCCCATTTTCCTGCAGAACTTGTTCTGTAACAAGTTGTAGGGGATGGGATGGGATGTGTTCCTGGTCAGTTGGATGGGCTGTCCTGGCTGTCCCCTCCCAGCGCCTCGGCCACCCCAGCACACTTGCTGGGGTAGGATGCCGTGTGGGCACGGCGTGGTCACAGCCACAGCACCGGGGTGTTACCAGCACTGCTTTGATCACACAGAGAACACACAGCACCATATGGGCTGCTAGGAGGAATTTTAGCTGCATCCAAGCCAGACCCAGTGCAAATGTCTAGAACATGTGGAATATATTAACTGTGAACTCTTTCCTGCCCTTCTTCAGTGGCAGTTTTAGTGGCATCCAGTTCGAAACCCCAAGATAAAGAAGTAAGAAAATTAAATGAAATTTTACCAGATCAATACTATATAATTTGCTTTGTATGTGTTTTAAAAGGTATCAATCTACTAGAAATGAGAAAAAAAGTTTTACTATTGGAACATATTTTCTCTTTCTATCTCTTCAGAACTGCCTTTCTAAAATGCCATTGAAAGGTTATAATGGAATTAAATTTTCAGCTAAGGTTTTGAAATAGAAGAGTGCAATGAGGTTTCCTTTTTTAGCAACATTTAAGTAACAAACTTCAGTTGAAATCATGCTTTTTATTTCTTATGCAACTGTAATCTGTGTTTAGTAAATGAAGTTAATTTAATTATCTTGCAGACATAACTGATGCACCCAGTTATTATATGAATGTACTTCTAATTGTATACTCACAAATATTTTTAGATTTAGGGCTAAATTTTTAGATTTAGGGCTAGACAAAGAAGTATATTTATATACTTTTAGATACTTTTAATTGGAGAACTAACGTGGCTAATTGATTTCTTTTTGGAATATAGTTACTATTCAAAACAAATCAGAACTCCAAAACCTTAAACAGTGTGTTAAAGAGTGTGCTGGAGACTATTTATTGCTGTAGATAACATAAAATTATCTTAAAATAAGATAAATAAGTTAAAAAATAAGTGAACATTGAAAAAGAGAATAAAAATTGGTAATTATCTTGGCTCAACAGAGTGTTCAATAGAGTTAAACCTTAAACTTTTTAAAAAAAGTTTCACTTACTTAAATAGTCTCTACAAATTGAAGAAAAAGAATAAAAAGGATTAATTTACGACTACAGTGTAAAATGCATTTACTGTAAACATCACAAAATGCTAACTATTAAAAAACTCTCTAAATAAAAGAAAATGCTAATTCATATAATATATGAAATTTATTTTAATCATTTTCAAATATATATATGTATTATGCACATGCATAATTTCTTTTTAAATGTCTGATCTGCTACATGTGTTTTAATGCTAGATATGAAATAGCAAGTTCACTTTTGGTAAAGTATAGGTTTAGTCAATTGTCTTTATTAATGTTTAAATAATAAAAATACATGTTATATAAAACTACACTCAAGTAGCTATGTTTTTTGTGTTTTTTGTGATATGCAAATATATTTGAAATTAGGCTTTTTAGGTCTCAGAGACAGTAAACTCTTTGGCTTTTTTTTCTGCAGGACCCCTCTATGTCATAACACAAAAATAAAGATTAGATTTTTAACTGATGGAAACTGGTTTTCTTCAACTGTAAAAAATATCTAAGTTGCTTAAATAGATTTAAATCACAGCATGCAGAGTGGTATCCTAAAAAGTAGTACAAATGTTCTAATTTACTGACCATCTTGCGATTAAATTAATTTTCAGCTGATTCAACAGGAACTCATTCCCTCTATACTACCTATAAAGATTATGAATTAATGTTTCATGTATCAACAATGCTTCCATACATGCCCAGTAACAGGCAACAGGTATGTTTTTTGAGCTTTTCCTCGTAATTTTACATTGTGTTTGACATTGAGTGTTGGGATTTTGTAATAGTATTGGTTGAAAACTGAATTGTTTTAAAAGGAGCATGACTCTATTATATTTTTCTTGAAATATCGTAAGACATTAGAAATCTTGTAGGATTTTTTTTCTATATAATTCAGGAACTTATCCATATACTCTATTTCATTATATTATTAAAAGGCAATATTGCCTCTGGTGAATGAGTTATTTTCAGTTTGGACTGAAGTCGCATCTTATGTATGTTTTAAACATTGAATGGAATGAATCTTGAAAATAGTCTTACGATTAAAATATGCATGTAGTAAAATTTTTGAAACTATTCCACTTAATCCTTGTATTACAGATCTTGAAATGTTTATTAATGTGTGGACGTATTAAGAATTTTAAACTCTGTCCTTCAAGGTGTCTGTGAAAGCAGAAAATCGCAGTGTATTTTTCTTATTTCTAGAGAATTCCCTTTGCTTATATAATAATTCAGAATGTCTTCAAAACATTAAGGATGGCTAAAAACCAGCACAGCATCCAAAGTGTGCAGTGCACCAGTAAGGTTACTCTGTCTTGCCTGTCTAAGATATTCCTTGTGACGTAATTAAAACATACAAGCACATTTGGTATAATATATCAGTATTAATGCTTAAAAGAAAAGCACTAGAATTGCTCATAGATCAGACTGATGGTAGTTTGTAACTTTCTGTGCTACTACTCTGTGTTCTTCCAGGTATGCAGAAGTAAGTGTTGCTTTAATCATTTAGTTAGTTTTGGGATATTCTTGCCTTGCCATGCAAGTTGCAGTCATGTCAGCCACTGTGGAAGGTTGTCATGAAATAAGGATGCTATCTTGCTTTGGTTTTCAACAGCACACAAAAGATGCTTGCTGATTGATTGTTGAACCATATGGGAATTGTATCTTTCATGTCTGTCCTATCAATAGATCTTGTGTGAGCAGAAAGATGTGTCAAGGCAGCAAGAGAAAGATAAAGTAAAAGTACTGAAATTCTTCAGAAGGGATAAATAAAAATAGCAGTGGAAGAAAGCATATCATGTTATGTGTTTAAGTGATCAGTGCATAGAGCTCTGAACAGTTTGAAAAGCTGTTTCAAGTGAACAGTTAAGACATTACACTTAGTATTTAGATGTGGTTTAAAGAAACTAAAAATTAGGAATCAAAAGACAAACTTTTCACCATATGAATAACATGAAGTTTAGATGACTCACTTGCTAAAATGTGTGGCTTTCAGGAGACAGAATGTTCACCTACATCAGACACTCAAATGTGACATAGCTAGTAATCAAGGGATTGGACCTTCATCACTGATTTCAGATTGTTCTGCTTCTCTAAACTTTCAGTTGCATCTTATTACAAAACAGGATTAATTTAGTAACTAGGAGTTGTTGTGTCTGCAGTCAGTCTAACAGTCTTTGACTGGAAATACATGTAAATAGGGAAAACTGTACCCTATTAAGACGATATAGTACACTGAATGAGCTTGCCTTAAAAGAATAAAATTAATATTTTCATAGCAAATCACAGGCACTGACAGTAAATATGGCCTTACTTGGAGTTTATTACTTCTGTTGTCTCTCATGAATTTTCCTTGTTCGTGAGAACAGGATATCCTCTTGCCATGATCCACTTATTTTCATTAGTTTTTTGCTGTTTGTCTGTCAGCTTCACTGCTGTGTTGCTCAGCCACCCCCTTTTACTGTCCTTTCACTTCTTCCTGTGCCTTCTTTTCATTCTTTTAATTTCCTTACGTGTCTTTTATAGTCAGGTGCTGATTCTTGTGTACAGCAAAATCTTTCAATTTTAACTCCATGGTTTTCCCTAGCAACAAGCACTCCTTTCCACAGTGTTTTAGTAAGCTCTCATCATTGTCCCTCTAAAAGGTTCAATATTTAGCAGAAGCACTATGTTGTTATTCATGGCTTTCCTGGGATCAAAATAATGTGGCAGTTTTCCAAGTCCAAGCAGTATGCCACGTTATTTTTCAGGTGATGAGATCTGTCAGTGTTTGCACAGCATGTACAGTGTCTTAACGAAATGTGACAAGTGCACCCAAATTACTAGAATTTAGCCAGCCTTAATGTGCAAAACAGATCTATAATAACTGTTTATTTTTTTTCTCTCTTACTGTTTAGTTCCAAAATACATAATGAAGTCTCTTCAGGGTTTGGCTCACTGCATACCCAAGTAAGGGGAAGTTAGAGACCACGGTAAATTTCCTGTTAGGTTACGTTAGGAATGAAGCCCCCCATTCAGTAGTGATTTTCTGCTAGCATATTATGTATGTACTGGCTGAGGTTGTTGCATCCTTTCCCTATGTCCCTTGTTTGGTAATGACTGGGCAAGGTATTCAGTCACTCCTCACAGTCTACGACGGTGACCTTCAGTGAGCAAGCACTGAGCATTGCTTGTGTTCCAAATACCTGTGAGCCAAAAACAGGCCGCACCAGAACTGTTTGTTGCTTCTTCCAGGATATAACTACGCCCTGCTTGGTCCCTGATCAGGACATCCCTCTAGTTTTAGAACCAGCAGGAGATCCAAAGAGCAAGGTAATTTTTATTTTGGCTGCAACATAGGCTGGGAACTTTCAAGTCAGCTGCTCCTTCCCTAGGATGGAGAAGACAACCAGCCCTGGTGTGGCCAGTTCCTTTTCCTTTACTGGCCTTTTCTTCAAAGCAGTTCAAGGCTTTCCCCTTTAAACTTTACCTTTGCAATGTCCCTTTCCAAATCATTCCCTTGCAAGTTTCCCATTCACACATTTGCAGTCTGCTTGTGTACACGTGGTCAGACCTGATTGATATAAATCTGTTCAAATAATCAGTTTTCACCTGTTTTTTATGAAAACATAAAAATGAAACAGATATGCAGTAATGAAATAAGCTTGTTGCATTTAACTACTGTTAAAATATTTGGGTCACACCTGTGGTTATACCAAACTCAGTTGATCAGATCTGTTGAAAGAGCTTTTGCCACTCATTTCTAGTTTTGGTACTGACTAAGAACACAAATTGAAAATAAAACTTTTGAAACCACTTATTTTAGAAATGCACTAAAATAAGTTTGGAGTTTTTCTTATTTGACTCTTAACACTTCATCATTTTATTGAATAAAGAGTATATCTCACTGCTATTTCAACAAGCATTCCTTGTTGTTTTGCAGTTTGACAAAGCGGAAGTGAGTAGATTTTTAAGGCTGGGCACAAGCTGTTAAAATGCTAAGTTTTAAGACAGATTTTTTCCTTCAGAGATGCATATCTGAAAATTAAGAATCGAGTCACTGAAATCTGAGAATTAATATGGTATCTATCATTTGGTGCAAATAATTTTAATCTAATAGATTCTGCTTTTCTAACATATTTTCCTGACTGGACTCACCTTTGTGTGTCTTGTATTCTTATGTAACACGTCACTGATTTCCTTTTGGCTACCTATCATGCTTGATTAGGTTTATTTTCAAGTTCTAACATGACAATGATGCCTCCTTAGTGCAAGTAATTCTCTGTAATCTCTGCACCCAGTTGAGAGTTCCTTTTGTGCTCAACATTTGCATGAGATTCTTTAGAGTATGTTAGAAAGGCAGATTAAAAAAAATAACTGCAACATTCAAAAAACCCCAAACCTGAGCAGACCTCAAAATGGGAGAGGAAGGGGAAACTGAGAACCTGAAAAGAACACCTAAACATACTAGGAGGTAAAAGTTGGGAGAAAAATCTAGGTTATAGAATGGAAATTAGAAAAGGGTTTCTTTTAGATCATTTTGCTGAGTTCCGGTTTCCTTCAATTCCTTTTTCATTTTCAGTATGCTATCCTTATCTCACATTTCCCAGAGAGGTATGTGTTCCCTCCCTCTTTTCCATTCAGTACTTATTCTTTTCCTGTTCCTTTATCCTATCCAGAGCACTTCTTTCCATGTTCCAGATCACCCCAGTTTAATTCTCCCCCCTTTAGAAATTCTTTGCATTATGATCCTCTGTGCACAGCCACAACTGTGCTTTGCCTTTTGCATTGTGTTGAAGTTGACTGACCACTGATGCATGACAAGTATTTATAAGTGTTACACTGGTTTTATTTTAAATTGAAGAAGTCACTAAGATCTCTACAGTCTTGGTAAGGTTCTTAAAAATAACCTGTGTTCCTGTTTGTATTTTTATGCCTTGTAGAGGTTTCCACTCTTGAAAAATATCATAGGGATAAGATATGGGAACTGACATACTTTTAAAAAGTCTTTGCTAGTAAAATTTCAAACATTTCTAAAACTTGCCTCCAATTAAGTGAATGCAGTTCTTGCTTATGCTACGTATGGTGGCAAGCAGAACCTTCTAAAGGGGTCTACAAAAGCAGAAAGTTTTCTTGAAAACCATGATTGTCTTGAAAAATAAATACACCTTTAAAGAAGATTGCATTCTCATTTTTGTAATTTACTCTATGTAAATGTATAGGCATGAACCACTGTGGCAAGAACAAGTAATTGGGCACTTAGTGGTATGACAAGGGCAGAAATTAATCACCTTGTACTTTGTAATTGGAAGTTTGCTTACAAATTTAACTGAGTTGTAAATTCCGACCTGTGAGATAGTAATAACTTCTAAACATTAACTTGTGCTGCCCTACTATGATCTAATTGTATGGCTCACTAGATGATCAAATTAAAGTATACCTTACAGACTTAGTTCTGTGATCGGTTCCTTGTAGTGTGCTTCTGTAGGCAGCAGTCTGCATACCTTAAATGGCTCAAATAACCAGTTATTTTCATTTTAGTCTTAAAAACCTGAAAACTTGACTGAGCCACATGACTTAACCAAATACTGTTTTCTGTTCCTATGTGTTTTTTTAAGTTTCATAAGAAGTCTTATTTCTTTATCTGTGTTTGGGATTTTGATTATGTTTAAAATAATACAGGTATACTTAGTGTTAAAAATTGTGGCTTTGGCCCTTCTGACTACCTTCAGAATATCATCCTTTATGTTATTTTAAGGACTGTAACGAAACATACTTTTGGGTTCTAGGCTTTAGCATGTGCAGCTTTGCTTTTTATTGCTGGTAGCTGAAATACTAACTTTTAGTGGAACTGGAAAAATGCAATAAAATACTCTGATTAGAAAGGTTCTGTTTTGTGAAATCACCTTGATAGAGAAATTTTTACTTGCTCCAACGTTTTCAAGTAAATTTATTCTTAAATACTTTTTGGTTACACATGAGCCAAGGTACAGCTTTAAGTGTCTTTATGCTATTAGTTGGCAATGCAAGATATTTGGCAGACTTTGGGTGAATATTTTAAATGTACCTGCACCTGGTAGACTTTTTTTTTTAATTTGTTAATATACAGAATTTGAAAGTTACAGTATTCTTTCATGAGGAAAGGGAGCATCATTTTACTGTGTCATTTTGTTGGGTTTTTTGGGGAGAAAGAGTAGTAGTCCCTTATTAGTGGATATGTGTTGTAATTTTTAATTTTTGCTTAGAACAATGATTTGGTACTTTAAAATAGTCCTTAAATATATTTTGATTATAAAAGCTACCAATTAAAAGAACAAATTTTTGATTAAATAGTTCCTAATAGCTGTTATTTCTCTGTGAGTCTTGGTTCTGTTCCTCAAATATACAGTTGTTAGCATTTCTGATGGATGCTCATGATAATATATTTTTAAAATTAAATTAAATCATAATATTAAGGACACTATTTAATAGTATTGTGACATGAAAAAGAAAGCTTTATTGAAACATAGAAGCAATATTATATTTTAATATAATTAAAATAAATAATTAATAACTTAATAAATATTAATAAATTAATAAATTATCAATATTTTTATAATTATTGCACTGTAAAGAGGGGGCAGATGTACAGTTTTCTGGATACTGAGAAATGTCAAGTGATGCAACACTTTTTTATTACTGAAGTGATGCATTATTAAGAATAAGAGAAATACATTTTTCTCATTGAATAAAATATAAATGAGCAGAAACTATGGAGAACTAGTGTGGGGATGTGGGAAAATTCACTAGTATTCTTGTGAACTTAGTCCAATTGCCTTTCCCTGTATTTTTGCAGTTCTGATATCCTTTACATGTCGTTATCCATGATGCAATAAAAGTTATTTCTGAAAAATTATACTGTGCTTGTATTGGTTTGACTTGTTTGTTTGCTTTTTCCCTAAGATGATGAATTTGTGATTTTTTAATTTATTTTTTTTAATAACTGATTTTTTGATGCATGTTTCTTGTCTAGCTGCTAAGGAAAAGGCATATAGGAAATGACATAGTTACCATTGTCTTCCAAGAGCCGGGAGCACTTCCTTTTACTCCAAAAAATATTCGTTCCCACTTTCAACATGTATTTGTCATTGTCAAAGTGCATAATCCTTGCACTGAAAATGTGTGTTATAGGTGAGTAGAGCCTATTTAAGTTTAACAAACTATTTAAGTTTGTTACTAAGACTGCAATGCCACTGTTTTCTAGATGTTTGTATTTCTTTTAGATATTATGTACTCAATTTTAAAATTCCTTCTGCACTTGCTGTGAATTTGAATCCTCAGTGTCTCCCTTGAACACATGTAGCGTTAAGGAGCATAGTTTGTAGACCCAAAGGGGTGTGTGCACAGCTCCGTGTTGCTGACTTATGGCCACAAAACAGGGATAAAACAAATTGGTGAAAATCTGTAGACACACCTATAGAAATTAATTTAGAATGTGTATTGCACTTTTCAGTTTTGGGGTTTTTTTGTTTGTTTTGTTTTTTTTCAAAAGTGATTTAAAGTATTTCAGAAGGTCCTTTAACCTGTATGAATCCTCGAGTATGACAGTATGACACCAGGGTGAGTCATAGCCTTTGAGCACATGAACAAGGATTTTTGGAGAATGGAAAAAAATCATAAATTTTAGATGATTTTAACTCTCACATTTAAGTCACTGCATCATGAATTATAGCAAGGTAACCAAGGTGGAAACACATTTGTGAATTGATTGGTAATTATGCAAATAATGATAAAGACATGGAGCATAATTACACAGGTTTATTTATAAATGTTATCTATTCATTGTTTAGAATGAAATTAAATACATCGTGGGGGTGGGTCATATTACTGTCTTTTAGCTGTCTATGAGAACTTAAAGTATCTTTTAGGACTTGATTTTTTTTCAGTAACTGTTTTGTGTTGATTAATAGATGACATTTCCTAAGTTATATTTTTCTTACTATTAAACTCTGTCATTCCAAATTTTACTGTATTTCAGTCAAACAAATAGTACTTGTATGTACTATGTACAGTATTCTAAATTTTTTTCAGTTGAAATATATTATGTATGTATCAATCAGAGGTGTAATTGTATCTGTTAGGAAATATTCCTGTTTTTCTTTTTATATTTTGCTGCCAACTGTCTAGAACAAGAATTGTGTTTTCCAATTTTATGAGCATAGAGTAGGCAGCTTAAACAGGAGAATGCACCATTATAGTCACATTTGACACCAATATTTTTTCATCAAATTCACGCTCCATTGTAGAAAATGATTTGAGGATAAAAATGAATTCTCTCTATTTTTATATTTCATAGTTTTAAGATGATGCAACTGAGTGACAGCTGAAAATGACAGATTTACATAAAGATAATTAAAAAAAATACTTCTCTCATTTCTTGCATTAATTTTAATATGTTTTAGTAAGTTACTTCCATAATGTCCTTTATATATTTAAAAGAAGAAAGCCATTCTAAAACAGACAACCCAATCAGTTTTCTTTGATGTGTCTGAAATGTCTGCAAATTGGCATGTCAAAGCTGTACTTAATTGTGTAAATGGATTGCAGAGATTACAGTTCTGCTTATTATCTGATTTTGGTTTTTTTTTTGAGAATTAATAATTTTTTGTTGGGTTTTTTTTTTCTATTTCCAGTGTTGGTGTTTCACGATCAAAAGATGTTCCTTCATTTGGTCCACCCATTCCCAAAGGAGTGACTTTCCCCAAGTCTGCAGTCTTTAGGGACTTCCTTTTAGCCAAAGTTATTAACGCTGAAAATGCAGCACATAAGTCAGAAAAATTTCGAGCCATGGCCACAAGGACACGTCAAGAATACTTGAAAGATCTGGCAGAAAACTTTGTTACCACAGCTACAGTGGATACTTCAGCCAAGTTCAGCTTTATTACTTTGGGGGCAAAAAAGAAGGAAAAAGTGAAGCCAAGGAAAGATGCACATTTATTCAGCGTTGGAGCAATTATGTGGAATGTGATTGCCCGAGATTTTGGCCAGTCTGCTGACATTGAATGTCTCCTCGGAATCTCCAATGAGTTTATCATGTTGATTGAAAAGGAATCAAAAAACGTTGTGTTTAACTGCTCCTGCAGAGATGTTATTGGATGGACATCTGGATTAATGAGCATCAAAATATTTTATGAAAGAGGAGAATGTATTCTTCTGTCTGCAGCAGATAATTGTACTGAAGACATCAGAGAAATTGTTCAGCGACTTGAAGTAAGTACAGTTTCTTAACTGGAGTTCCAGGTTTTTTTATGAACAATTATTTGTCTACAACTCCTTTGAGATATAATTAAAAATGGTCTGTATTTATAGTTCAGGAGTGTTTTTGGTCTTCAGAGAGCATTACAAATAGTAATCTCCACAACAGCATGTGAGATAAATGTTATCAACCTGTTTTTCAGGGGTAAGGTTTCAGATACTATTAATCTGATTACTTGCCCAAGGCCATGGATGGTTCCAGTGTTGAAATCAGGACCGAAAAGCTTTTGCCACCTCTTGCTGTAGCCTTTTCTCAAATCATACCCTTGTAGTAGAAATATCATTAATTAAAAATATATGGAATCTTAATGTGTAAAATATACTTAAGACTTTTTTAATAATCCCTGAGAATATTAGAGGAAAATTTTATGTAAGTAGTTCTGCTAATTTGTTCCTCTGTACTGAGAAAGTGCAGGAAGTAAAGAAATGTACACCAGCTAATGCCAGTTTTAACAGTTGACTGGATATCAAGTTTTTCAGACACTTGACTGTGTCAGTACTGCTGTTCTGTAACTATTTCAATCAGTCCAAATGAAATGACAGTAACTCCAAGGTGTAAAAGATGCTGATGCATCTAATGGTTGCACTTCACTCTTTGATCTTAATTCAAGTGATTTAGATGGTCTTAGGGCTTTCTTCTATTAAAAGGCTTGGCACTGAAAAGAAATCAGTTTGCTTACAGTTTTCACACTGGAACAGCTGGATTGCAGCTGATGATTTAGGGCTTCTCTAGTACTGTAGTCTCATTTAGCATGGCTCAATATCATGCACTAAATAACAGCAGTCTTGCAAAGTACAATTACTATTTCAAGAGTTGAATGTCTTTAAACTCTTTTTGCCCACTTTTATCCTTTTCAATTGAGGTCTTCAGTTTCACTTTTCTTAGACAGATATTTCTCTTCTAGAAAATAGTGCTCCCATTAGGTCTTGTTAACTGATCCATATAAATTTTTTAACACAAATGAAAAACAAGATTTAAAGTTCTAGTGAAAACTTCTCCCGTCATCAGTGACAACTTTTTTTGCTATTTTTTGCTTATTTGGTTTTCCAAAACTTGGAAATAATCCATGTTGCTGAAGACAGATCTTTAAGATTTGGTAATTAAAACCACAGAATGAAATGTTTATCTACACTTACTTTGCTACTTCCTCTTTATTATGGCAAGATTTGGGGTTAAATAATGACAAATTGGTTTTAAGCCTCAAATTTAGCACCGGTTATTACTAAGGTTACCTGAATATTAACTTAAAGTATCTATTCCAGTGAACTCTGACTGCCTTTTCTTTCCCTGCTACCTAACCAACTTTCATGCTAATTAAAAGAGTTGACTGTCATTACTTGTTTTAAAACATTTTTTGTCCCTGTTTCTTGCCTCATCTTTTTTCTCATTTTCCCCTGCTTCTTCCTCTCTTTTGAAAGCTGCATATTGATGTTATTTCCTGGTTGTTTTATAACACTGAATGCTTTCTACAGTCCTTGCATACATTTGGTACAGAACCATTAGAACCACTAAAAAATATTTAAAACTGATGCCACACTTTATGTGCATACCTTAAAAAACTTTCAAGTGGCTCAGAACACAGCTAAGGTTAACAGCCATATGTGCCAGCAGATGCTAAACATGAAAGCTCAAACTGTGATGTAATATCAATCATCAGTGACCAGATGATTAACCCTTTTCCAGTCATGAGTTAAAGCATTTCGTAAAACCACTGAGTAGAACATTGCAATTACTAAATGAGTTTGTTAAAGGAATAACTCGACTTTACTGGCTGGATTTAAATCATGCAGGTAAAAAGGACACCTGTCTGAATATCCAGATTAAGAAAAGGTATAAAAAAGCTGGCTGAGACCATGATTTTAGTTTGAACTGAGACCATCAGTCCGGGACTGAAAAAAGAGCTGTGACTTGTTGTAAGTCTAGACGAATTTGTATTTGTGAGGGAGAGTATCTAGTTAAAGAAAGTAGAAAGAACAGCAAACTATAAATTACCTTGGAGGGTTGTGTTGGAAGGCAGGAAAAGAAGTGGTTTTGAGCTTTTGGATAACAGAGAATGGCAGGATGATAAAAGATTAATTGAAAACACTGAATGGATCTATAGATGAGAATCTGAGTTGACAAAATTTCCCTAGTATCCTGTATATTAAAAAACCCCTCTTTACCTTCTTCATGGAGCTTAGGGGATCTCTCTCTTTTAACTTCATCTGTTTTAAGTGTATTCAGAAAAGCCAGCTCTTAGTTCATTTGTGGCCACCAGATCAGTGAAGCTGCAGCCAAGTCAGCAGAATGCCATGTTTTGAAGTGGAACAGTGCTAGGTTTAATGTGACATTACTATGTAATAGGCAGTGTCACCTTTTAGGGAACATATACTTGGGGAGGACTAGATCTCCTGGAATGTTTCCCATTGGGAATAGATGAGTATTAGGCAGGAACCTTTATCTTTCTTATCTTTTAACTTTTGAATATTTAACTTACTTGAAGAAGAGATTTTGAGTGCTCTGAGTTGGGGAAATCCATATACTTTGGCTGGTGCATTAATTTTGCAGTAGACTGTAATTGTGATGTAATGATAAAGAGTTGTCAGCCCCCCAAAAAGAATATTATGTATCTTAATAAAGATAAAATTCTGTCCCTCAGCTGGGCTCCTGACTGTAGTAGCATGTTTTTCTTTTCACTGCGTGAGTAAATGTATATTTTAGAAACTTGTGAAGGAAGTGTAGCTAACAAAGAGCTGAAAATTTCCTTTTCATTTACCTAATTCACAAATTATGAAAGATTATTTTTTTCTTATTGAAATTTAGTCATAAATGAGCTAGGTTAACAGTATATTAAAGTTTCCAGTATGCTATATATACATACTATGTAGTTCTAACTATATAGTTCAACTCTGTATGCAGAGTTGTAAGCACAATAGAAAGTTCTATTTTAAAAGGAAAGTTTCTAAACTACACTAAAACGTCAGAGCTGAAAAATGACAAAGGAAATAGTTGCTTTGTTTTTGTTATGAAAACTCAGAATCTGACATTGTAAACAAAGCCTCCAGAGTGCATTTTAGACATCTCAGTAATGACTTTCATATTTTAACTTTGAAACCTACATCTTCAGAAGTAACTGGAAAGATTATTAGTCAAAATTTCCAGGCAACAGTTCTCAGAATATCTGATCCTTGCAATATCTTCAGTATTTCATGGTTCACTGAAGATTATCCCTTAATAAATGAGGCCTAATTGTATTTCTTTACCTCACAGGTTAAAAACATGAGCATACACCAGATCAGCTAAGTTAAAATAACCCATGGGTTTGTGGCACTTTGTTCCCATGTGCACAAGTTCAAATTTTTTCTGCTGAATGACAGATACCCATATAAAAATATTCTATAAATAAAATAGTGCTTTAAAACTTACTAAGGTACCAAATCTCATGAGCTCCCATGCACCCCTGAATCAAGCTGGGATATTTTGTTGTGGAAAGCACAATATGAACTAGTGAAGTAGCCTGCCTGGATTCTGGTTCATGCAGGCAGTGGGGAGAGCAAGAGTAACTTTTCCAAAATAGCCTCCTGAATTAAACTCAAGCCATAAAACAACCTTTGCAGAGATCTATCCCGCACAGCTGACAGTAAAGAACACTAGCCTCCCATCTGTTTTTGTGATGCACACTAAACCCAGCCATAAACAGCATGAGCACCTTTGTGGAACAAGGTAAGGTGTGCTGTGGAACTGCTCTTAATGTACCATGACCTAGGGAAGATCCCTGGATCTGTATTGTAACATAAGCATCTCTAAAAGGCAGGTGTTTGCCTTGGTGGAGCATTTATGGGAGATCTTTGATACACACTACAAACAGAGGTCTTTGATAATGTTTCACAGTGGTTAAGTTTTCGTTCTAATTGAACTAATGAAGCTAAATGCATACTGGTTTTGTGATGCAGGCAAAAGGGAAGGCTGGGGTAACTCTCAAACTTCCTTGTAATGTGGGCTAGAATTTTGTTCTGAGTGTGGTGCAGTATCCCAGTTACAGGCTGTTGTATGATTGTGATTTACATGGCAAAACTGTTGAGAACTTGTTTCACAGTATATAGAAATGAACCTGCTTGGCAAAATCTGAATTTGAAGGATTTTGGCTGCTCTGTATAATGAAGGTTACTTTTCATTGAATATGAAGGAAGTAATCTTTTTGTTTCTAAATTTCCCAGTGACATGGAAACTCTCATCCCATTTTAGTGATATCCTCATCTGGAGATGATGGTAGTTAGGAATCTGTCCATGAAGCAAAAGAAAACTAATATTTTCTTCATTGCTATTTTCTCGAAGAAAACAAGCTGAGGCACTTCACTCAATTTGGCTCATGTTGTATCTTGGGTTTAATACTGTTTAATGCTGATAAAATATGCCTGCAAACCTGCAGTCAGCCAAAAAAGAATGAAGTAGTTGACAGGGCAGCATTTTTCTTGCTTTGTGGTTTGAAACTAAACCAGCTGTAAAGTTTTCAGTAAGATATAAATGGCATTGTGTTAATGTTGGGCAAGGGAGGAAGAGCTTGACGTGTGTCAGCTGCCTGCCCTGAAGATGTAAGATTTTTAGCATCGCAAAATGTTTTGTTCATTTTGTTTAATGCAGAAATCTTCATTCAGAGATAAATGTTAAGACAATTTCATGCTAGTATATTGAAGATACTTAAGCCATACGTGACTTTATAACGTTTGTGTGCCCTGACAATTGCGTATCAATCTGGTGCTTCCTCAGATAGTGACTAGAGGATGCGAAACCACGGAAATGACCCTGCGGAGAAATGGGCTGGGCCAGCTTGGATTCCACGTGAACTTTGAAGGGATAGTGGCAGACGTGGAGCCCTTTGGATTTGCATGGAAAGCAGGTCTCCGGCAAGGGAGCCGCCTGGTAGAGATCTGTAAGGTGGCTGTGGCAACTCTGACCCATGAGCAAATGATCGACCTTTTGCGCACATCAGTGACAGTAAAAGTGGTGATTATTCAACCACACGAGGATGGAGCGCCCAGAAGGTAAGGAGCAGCAGTTCTCAGTGGAACATTTGTATCTGTTGGGGTTTTTTTCCTCTACTGCTGCTTAAACCATGACTGTTTTATTATTCAGTAAATGGATGTTGTCTGCCATGATGGGTGATAATATTGTTGATGGCGGTTAAAGCAATCTTTTCCCCAGCATCCATATTGAATTGTTATAGAGGATAAAATGAGATCCTGCAAGAAATTTAATAGGAAATTTATTTTTATATGACTTTAAAAGGGTAGGAAGTAAACTTTAGTGTATTCTGACTGAGCCGTCATGAAAGCTGATGTTACTTCTTTTCGTCCACGGGAGAGTTTTATGTTTTAATGCTGAGTTAAAAAATGTAGAAACTTTTCCATGAAATTGCACCTTGTTTATCTTTGAGATTTCTCCAAATCCTGACTACTGGAAGAGATTTGTTTGTTTGGGTTTTTTTATGTTGAAATTTAATGAAAATAGTGAATTGCTGGATTCTGCGCATAAATGGTGCCAAGTCTTAGAGTTCTACTCACTTTTTACAAATATCTAATTTGTTCACATTAAATGGTGAGTTACATCAGTGAGTTTATCATTTAAAGCAGAGAAATCTTATTGCAACATGAAATACATGCTTATGCTTAGGGAAAGACTAATAACAATCATTACAGTGTCTGTACCAGTGTTTTCAGGGATGAAATGCATTTTTCTTTCATCAGTGTTCCTTTTTGGGTGACAAAAGACATTTTTCTCCATTTTTTAATATCACGAGGCAGTGAAGTAGGAAAAAACTGAAACTTTGTAACAGTGTGACTTTATTTCTCACACACCTTGTCTAGTCAGTGTTAATTTGGCTCATTTTAAATGAGAAGTGTACCAGAGTAAATTTAATTACTTCTCTTCTCGTACCAGGCCAACTTTAAATCTCTTGTTGATTTTTAATTCAAAAGAAAAAACATTAGATGTGTTGCTTTTGGCAAGACAACAAGCAATAAAATTTTACGTAGCGTGCAGCACTGTGAAGTCGATGCCAACTGTATACAAATGCTGTTTAATTGGTGGCAATTCTCCAAGTAGTCATTGGCCTGATGTATGACACACAAGGGTGTCCCCTGCCTCAACCTGCATCGTGATGCCTCCCTTTCTGAACAAAATGCCTGTGAATGTAGAATAGCACCGTTTTGCTTAGTTGGATAGAAATTTGCAATTAAGCCTCTCTTTGCTTAGCTTTGCTATTCTCACCATCTGCTTCTGGGTATGAATTTTCACTGACTTGTTTGGTATACATTTCCAAGCTGTTTACAGAATATGAGCCTAATGAGATGATCCCATTATATTGAAAGTAAAAATGTGTATTTTATAGGCCCTGATAGAAAAATACATATTGTTTGAGCTGTTTATATTGTCTTTGATATAAATCTTTTTCTAGAGATAAAATGTTTAAATCCCAGATCAGTGTGATACATAGCACCCAAGTCTATGTGTAGGAGGAGTTTGAACTGAGTGTTACCACACTGAGAAAAATCTGCAAAGCTGCTTCTCTTTATAATTTTAAATTGTGACTAATTACTAAGAAAAATTATTTTTTTAAAGCTATGTGCCTGTTCTAAAATTTTTTTTAAAGAATGTGTAAGTTCTTTTTAGCTTCACCTTTCTAGTATGTATATATAAAATAAATGTCTCTTTCAAATATCAATTTCCCAGAGAAAACTGCTCATTTTCCTTTGTATATCCCCAAAAATATGATCAGTGATTTCGACTGTCCAGTCTCTGTAGGGTTTTGAGCTTGCCTTTTCTCAATGTTTATACTCTAAACAGAGCAGACAGGAAGCAGTTATAAATATTGCATGACAAGTCTGAGAATTTCATTTGACAAATATGATCTTTGTTTGTAAAATATATTAATGAAAGAGGGAAAAGAGGAGAGGGAAGAAAGGGATAAATTGTCAGAATTTGAGGGGAAAAGATAGCCTATCACTGCTACTTACCAGTTAAAACTTATGCAAATCTGTCTCCCTGTCTCCTGCTCAATTGGTTCTCTTAGACTTCTGCATGCTCTTGTCACAGAAACAGAGAATAGCTGGGGTTGGAAAGGACCTCTGCAGGTTGTTGAGTCCAACCCTATTGTTCAAAGCAAGGTCAGCCAGAGCAGATTGCTCATGGACATGTTCACTGGGTTTTGTATATCTCCAGGGATGGAGATTCAAAAATTCAATATTTCAGTTTCGGTATGCAACCATCCTCTCAGAGAGAAAAGTTTTTATGTGTACTTAAATAGAATTTCCTGCACTTCAGTTTTGCACGTTGCCTCCTGTGTATTCAGTAGATACAATTCTTAGTCTGTCATCTCTTTTCCTTAATCCCCCCACTAGATATTTTATTCAAATTGATAAAATCCCTCCTGAACCTTCTCTTTCCCAGGCTGAATGATACCAGCACTTTCAGTTTCTCCTTGTGTTTCAGATATTCTTATCCCTTAATCGTCTTTGATCCTTTGCTGGACTTGCTCCATATGTTCATGTCTCTCTTGTACTTTGCTATCAGGATTTCTCAGAAATTTACAGGTTGTAGCTTTGGACATAAAACAGGAGTATCCAGAGAACTAAAATCCATTTCACCTTCGTTTGACAAGAAATGTCCCTGTCCTTGGAAGAGTCCATGCATGGCTATAACAGGATAGAATCAATCCTCTGTGAGTGACACATACCTGTGGTGAACATTTAAGGCAGGTGTGACAGCTTGTCAGGAGGGAGCTTTTTTGTATCAAGTAGCTCTAATAATTATCAAATAACACTCAACAGGCATACAGGTATTTTTTGTCATATCTGGGGGTCGATCCATGCTTGACCTACACATTACAAGTGTCTAGGAGAATGATGGTTAAAAAGCAGGAGAAAGCTTTACATCTGTGATCCAGTACTTACTGCTTTTATTCACACCTGGTTTTAGAGGTTTTCTGCTAGGAAATGATGCATCAGTCTGACATATGTAGGAAAGTACATTTGGAGGCTGAAATATGTCCCTTGAAATTTTGACTCATCCTACAGAGTATATGATCTTCTGGCAGTTGGGTAGGCTTTTCTTCTTTTCTGTATTTCAACCTGGTTTCTCAGATTAGAGTTTGTTCTTTTGATTTTTTTGTTTGTTTTTTTCTTTTACTTAAATGCCATAATCTAGGGTTTCAAGTTTAGCCACTAAGATTTTGCCCACAGTGCATAGATATAAAAATACATTCATCTATGTTTCTGAAAGGATCAGTTGCATTAAAAATTTGCATACATTTACAAGAATGTAAATATAATTTTAGCAAAAGACCAAAAAATCCAGAGTTTTATGAAAAAAATCTGAACGTGTATAATTTTATTAATGCCTACCTTTCATTTTCTGAGATAATCAGCTCGTTTCCAGTTCTTGAAAGACTAGTTTCTGCTAAGCTTTGTCTGCTGGGTTTTATGAACACAAAGCAATGAGGAATTTCTCTTTGGGTTGCTTACTAGCACTGGTGCCTTGCTGGGATCAAATTCCGAAGTGAATTTACACAGATTGGACATGTGATTGCCATGGAGTATCTTGGGAATTGTATCCTTAATGTGAAAATGAGTTTCAAATGTGCACGGGTGTTTCTCAAGCAGTCCCTTGAAAAAACATCAGCCAAAGTGGAGATCTTTAATCAAGTTCTTGACTTGATTTTTTTTGTCTGTTAGCTTGCCCACAAATAATCTTCAATTTTAAAAGAAAACCAGCAAAATCTAAGTGTACACCTAGCTGAGAATAAACTATTAGCAGTAAACTATTAACAAGGATTTTTTTTTCTGCAAAGTGTCTTGTATTCATTTATTTCAGCATGAAAATAAACTATTTGAATGTTGAAGGTGCTTATAAAGGACTGTTACAAGGTGATTAGGAAATTACAGAGGAAAATTCTGCTCAATAAATGTCTTCCATTACTTAATGTAAATTCTTCTACTGAAGTCTTGACGGTAGTGTATGCAAAAGCAATCATGGAATAAGGCCTTTCATTTACTATCCTGTAAAATTAATGAACTTGAGACAAAGCTCCTGCTGTTTTCAGTTTGCTTCAGCAATTAAATAATCATGCACAAATTGGTTCAGAAATCAAAATTATTTGTGTGGCATTGGGCTGAAATTTAGATAGGAAGAAGAAATTGCTATTTAAAACATAAATTCTTTAAGAGACAAAGCAGTATTAGAACAAATATGATGGTCATTGCTTTTAGATCTGAATAAGTATTCTTGTGTCATATTTGTTTCTGTGCTAGGTCTGACCCTTCAGAATTGTTGATTTGGGATTGTGTCCATTTGAACAGGGGAATAATGATGTGCATTCTAATTTGCTTTTACTGGTGGTGTTATAGTAGTGTTCAAGGACACTATATCCTTAATCAGCCAAATCCAATCAAGGAATTCAAGCACTTCTAAATCTATTTTAAACTGTAGATTTTGCTGGATTTTTTTTTTTACTATATTTTACCTATTAGTTCAACTACCATTTTATATAAAAAGACACCACTTCAGAAATTAACTAAGAAACAATTTCTAGGAAATTTAGAAAGTAAACAAAATTTTAAGCAAAATTTCCAGAGCTGGCTGTAAACAGAAGCAGGAGAGCTGTAGAAGCAGTAGTTTCCACTGTTGGTCTGAACAAGCAAGAGACGCTTTTTCTGCTGTTGTAGGTAGTTTTGAAAATAGAAATACTTTAGTAACAGTGACTGAAACTGCCTGTGGGCCATTTTTAAGTACTACTGCAATTCTTCTGAGGTTATTTTATTCTTTTGAACCTTGCAAACTCCTTACAAATAAAATAGATGTAATGACTTCTTTTCCACTCCTCATGCTTCCCCCTAAGTGACTATGATTTCTTTGAAAGAATTGTCTTTCTGGGGCTCTTTAAAAGTAACAGATAACCAGCAGAGTATAGAATGTTTGGAAAATGCTTTCAGGAAGGGGAAGAGGCTACTGTGTGGTGGAGTTCAGTTATTGTCACAGAGGTGTTTGC